CGCTGGGTATACTACCGATCTAAATTTAATGCCCCAATGATTCCCCATGGGCTTCCAGAAAAGACATAAAAGAGTCTCGTCTCGGACATATTGGACCTTCCTCAGCAGAGACAACTAAAAAAGTAGGCTACATATTTGAAAAAGTCTAAATTTATCATATTCGGGACTGTCTTGTACTTGATATTGGCTCCTCAAACTCATGACCCTTTTGGGCATCCAATACCAGTCATATTGATGCTCCTCTCAACATCTGCAAAATGATAGCTCGAGGCACCATGATCTCATACTCTATATTAATGTATATTACCTCAAACTCACTACCTTCTAGAATAGTTTTATGAACTCTTTTAGAGTCTCTCTCCTGGATTCAACTCGAATCGTTGGTGTCACCTCATAGGTCGAAAGTTGAAAATCATCTCTGAAATCTTCATCTTCTCCTAGATCATCATTTATTTCTTCATTTGTTCCCTAATCAGAGAAAGCGATCACTCTCCTAGTTGTACAATCTGGTTCACTATGTCGAAACCCTTAGCACTTGAAGCAAATCTTGGTCTGAACAAATTAAGGAATGCGGCTTGGCTCCACCTGTTCTCCACACTGAATCAGCTTTTCCTCTAACGAGGTCAGCTTGGATATTCTCCTGGGTGTATTATGGTCGTAAGATCCTGATGTTGAATTATGTCTGTAAGATGTGAGGGCCTACAGTTGATGGGTTCTCTTTACTTCTGAAGCTATGGTCTGAGTATTTTGTCTATAATAAGCTAGTAGAATCTGACACTGCATCTCCCACTTCATCTTGGATCAAGTAGTAATCTTATCTTTTCCTTGACAATGGCATATGGACTTCAGAATCTCCCTATGAAAACGCAATGTCGGTCTCCTTCATCGCTTAAATATTCCTTATGGAAGGGGGATTCAAACTCTCATCTCTTTCTTCCCTTTGACTCTCCAAATCCCGGTTGAGGGTAATCTCCCCCTGGGTCTCATCATCAAATTATGCTAGCATTTGCTGAAGGCGACGAATCTCCTGCTTATCACATTTCGGATAAGGTCTGACATGCATCTCCTTGGTGACATTGTTAGTGTTTGGGATTTGTGGAGGTGGAAATATTATTTGGAGGTAGGAAAATTTTTTTTTAGTTTATGACGGATGCTAGGAAAGCCTAGTATAAGGCTAAAGTTAGGCTAGGTCTAACACTAAATGATACCGGAGGTAACCCAAACCATAATAGAAAAGCAACTATTATTACTTGAAGTAACTAAGCAATTACAATCAGCACACTTGAAAGGAAAAATAGAACATGACACCCCAAAATCAAAAATAGCAGCAAACACGACACATAATCAAACTAGGGTGGAATCTCGGGGTGGTGATGGCGATCGACGAGTGTTTGGCAATCCAACGAAGCGATAAGGAGTGATACTGAAGGAGAGGAATGGATGGTTAGGTGGCTGAAACAACTGAAAAAACATGAAAAGGTTGTTTCAGAGTTGTTGTAGCAAGGTGAAATGTCGACGGAAGCGACATAGGATGCGGGGAACTGCAGGACATCAAGGGAACGGTAGTCCGGTATGGCGGCAACGAGGACAGTCGTTGGATTGGGAAAACAACAAGGCGCGACTTTTAGGGGCGGTTGCAGCAATAGATGGAGGTCGGGAGCGACGTGGGGAGAATGCGAACGGGAAGGAATAATAAACACCATCTCGGGAGAGAAATACAGCCGGAGCACCACCCAAACCCCCGGGTACAACCCTCAAAGGGTGAAACGAAACCAGCGAATGTCCTGACAAAAATCTGAGCCAAAACTGAATCACGAATCATAATACAATGCATATATAAGAAAGGATTAAAAGGAAATGAAAGGTAATAGGAAAAAAAGCATAAGAAAAACGAGATTGTTTCGGCCTGTCTCACACAATTGTAAAATCTCGCGGCACTATAGAAGATACAGTACCGCGTCCGCAATAAGCTCCCGTGTCAGGAGATTCTCCCAATCTCTACAATTCGAGAGATAGAAAATCTCTCTCAAACTCTAACCCTAAGACTCCAAGAACAATTCTCATGCCACCCTAACCCTAAACCTATTAGGGAATATTTGTCATTAGGCACAAAAAAGATTATATTTCCCTTAGGCTAGGGCTAGGCATCAGCAAAACAATACTCTGTCTTGCACCCCCACCCCAATAAACCTTGTCCTCAAGGTGGGAAAAAAAGGAAAGTGTTGTTAGATAAAGTCGAGTGACTTCCACGTGGGTCATTATCCAGCCATCATTTTCATTTAATCAAGAATTCATAGTTACCCGCAAGACTTCGAAATATAGTCTTGTGCACATCCTTCGACTGCATCTGAATCAAACGATTGTCTGGCTTTCAGTCAATCTTAGATAATATTATAGCCCCAAACAGTTGTTTATCAATCACCAAAATCTCTATTAACTTTGTATCATGTGTCTCTTCCGTCTCTGTCAACTTTGATATTGCTTGCTTCCGTTTGTTCAAGTTGTCTGAATGTCAAATTATTTCCTCCAAGTACTCTTGCTTGAGTGTGCTCCTAATCTCTTAGCTCGATGCAGCGGCTCCCTATCTGTCGAAAGCAGTGAAGTCACACAAATCTTTTTGGTTATTGTTGCTAGAGTCCGTTCCCGACGTCAACGCTCGACCCCACGGCGGGAGGAGCTTGTTCTATGTAAAACTCCATTATCTTCTTCATTCTTTCTTCGAGGGTTGTGAATCACCGCTCAAACTACCCCCTCCATGGACAAGAAACATTCATCCATTACCGAGAAATGTTCAACTATTTCATTTTTTATGTGGCTCATTTCTTTATTTATTTTCCTCCAAATCAACTTTTTTTTTGCTAGCAGTACTTGTCATTTTTGAAGCCTAAATGTCGCGATCTCATAGTTGATTTGAATCGAGACTATTTTTCTTGGATCGATCATTGTAAGCTAACTTGAATTGGGATTTTCTACAACTATGCAAGCTGCAATATTTCCAGGTAACCTCCATCGCTATTGTACCGCGAGCTTAGAAGTCACAAATGCTGGTGTATCTGTCACGATCCCATCTGTCGGCTTCCTCAACTAGATTGAATTGTTATTGTCTTGCAAGCTGCGGTCGTCTAGTCCTCTTGTATGTCGTGAGCAGTCTGAATTGCGATTGTATTTCTTCCCGACTGGTTGAGTCATAGGATTGTGCCGCTCTGTACGTCGTGACCAATATGTTGCTTCCCATTGAGCTCTAATCGCGAACTAATTGCGATTGTCGGAAGTAGGAGCTGAAAGATGGGAGTTACCGGTCTCTGAAAGCCTCGATCGCGTTGTTTCCTTCTCTACGAAGAAAGAAGAAATTTTTAGTCTTTGTAAGTTGAAATTTCGTAGGCTCCCCCGCAAGCTCAAATAGCGGAAGAAGCACACAAGCCGACTGTTGTAATTTGGGGGGGGGGGGGGGGGGGGGGGGGAGGATGTTTAGCTCTTATTGATTTTGAATCACAAGGTCTGTGATCCTGTAGTTCCAACCCAAGTAGCTTGATTGCACTTGCATCGTTAAGGTGTAGCAGAAGGAGAAAGGTGGGACTTTCGGGTCTTTGTACACCGTGCAAGGAGTCATGTGTCTGATCCGTTCAATACCAGCGAGTTGGATGTCGCAACCCTTCTGTAGTTTCTATCTGTGATCTCAGTTGCTTCAACCCTCATCAATCTATCCTTTTTTAGATCCGATTTCCAATATCTTTGAGCTTTGATACCAATTTGATATGTCAAAATCTGAACACTTTTCGGCAAAAATTAAGGCGAACACAAATTTTATTTCTTGAAAATCAAATCAAAGTAATAAAGCACTAATAACTCACACGAATACAAAAAGACAACCACCTACAATTCGAGAGATAGGCGAACTCACTCAATTCCTACAATTCAAGAGGTAGCAAATCTCTCCCAAACTCTAACCTAAGACTTTAACACAACAATTCTCATGCCTCCCTAACCTTAAACCTATTAGGGTCAATTTATATTAAACAATAATACATAATAAAAGATTAAATTGCCCTTAGGCACACAAAAGACAAAATTACTCTTAGTCTAGGCACAGGCGCAACACATTCATTACCTAGTGATTTATAATTGATGGAGCATGACATTTCTTTAGGATGTATAATCACTCCAACTCCCAAACATAGTGTTATGTAGTTAGGAGAAGTAGTGCAGACAAAAATTCTAAATTTTATTATTGATGTTCAATTCCTATTGTATCATTGGACCTCATGATCATTTCACTATTAGGTATTTCGTATTTTTCCTACTTGTATAATAGATGCATTCTAAAGTATGAATATTTGTTTACTGTGGACATGAAAGGCCTTATTATTCTGGGATTTTAATCTTCATCTATTTCGGAAAGAAAATATATTTGTTCAAGCAAAAGACTTGCTCATCAGGTTATTATTGTTAATCTATTCTCTTCTTTACAGACTTCTCTATATCTTTCTTAACCAAACTTTAACAGCCAACTCATGCGCCAATCTACGAATCAAGGTTTTCAATAATTCATAGCTCGCATCAGCTAAACAATTACATGGTCAGTAGATAGGATTAAAGAAATAAAACTGAAACTCTCATGACAAGACAACGAGATGTAACTGCAGTCTAATCAATTTGGAAAATGTAATCCCATAAAATTTAGTGGAAATCTACATACATACCACACAATGCTCATGTATTCACATATCTAACACCCAAAGTTAGATATATACAATTATACATCTTGGTGTCATAAAGTTATGCATGTCAATGTGTATTTAACTTTTAAAAAAATAATGATGATGGTATTTTTTATTTGATGTTAAGGATTTGAGTGGTATGCATGTAAATATGAATGTATATGTGTTAGATATGTAATTACATAAGAATTGTGTGGTATATATAAATGCCCCAAAAGATATTAATCTTGGAAAATAAACTATAACCAGTAAAAAAGACATGTGGTAGTGGCATATAATAACCTCATTCTCACTGCATTGTTGAAATCCTTCATCTCACGAAATGTATTCTGTTTATCGTGGTTCAAAAAATAGAGAACATCCTGTTTATAAGGTAAAATATTTATCAGTCAAACAAATTGCAAATTAATATAAGAAATGTTATCTGCAGTAACAAGATCATTCAATCACAAACGGAACAAAAGCTAAATGGATAACAACATTGAGCTCTGAGTGAATCAAATAACAGATCAGCCCTTAAAATTTTCATAATGATGTTGAAATGCACCATGTATTGGAAATGTTTACCTTTTAAAGCTTTGTTTTGGACGGCTTATATTTTTATAATTTTACTGTCAATTTTTTAAAAAGTTATCTTCTAAGCTACAGTTTCCAGTATATTTTCTCAATAACAAGATTTATCAAACAAATTATGAGAGAAGAAAAAAATGTCTAGCGTTTTCATCTAAAGCATATATTACAAATGTTATGGTAACTTTCCCTATCACAAAAGCAATAAAAAACAAACTCCAAATAAAACCTAAGACAGAAAAAGCATGCACAGTGAATAAGGGGGTTGATATATGCATCCTAAGATATAAATTAACAGAGAGTTTCAGTGATGATTACCTGTAAACACCAATTCGCAACCAGGTAAACTTAGAAACTCATACCAGCTCCAACTAAACAAACTTTATTTTAGGAAAAATTATTTGCAAAATTGTATCAAGTAGTTTTTTCTTCACTAGATTGCCTCAATAGAGTCCTCGATAGAGCAAAGCCAGCCTTTTGACAGCTTCACAATGATGAATAAGAAGTGAACCATCCACAATACAAATCTCTCTCCTTCCCTCCTCTCTTACAAGTTCCACTTATCGTGATAATTGTTTTTTATCTCACACACGTATCTCTCTCTCACACACTTGAATCCACCCCAACCCTTTTCTTCTTTTCTCCACTCTATTTCACACATGCCTCAACTAGCACAGTATCCCGATAATTTACTTCTCCACTTTTGTCACAATTCAACCAGAAAGCTTGAAATATCAGGCAAAAACTGAAAGTCGGACATAAAAAATTTACGAAATTAAGCAAAATCTCCAAATTTTTTAAAAATATAAGTCTTCCAACACACAGAAGAGTCAACTATATTAAAAAATATATAAAACTAAAATACATCTAAATTTATTTTTTTTTCCAAATTTGCGACTGATAAAAAAATATTATTATATTACTTATCTACTGAGCTCCTGAGTCCCAACTCCTATAGACAATTCTACATTCAATCTAAAAAAAGTTTAACAGGAAATATTCATCAAATGTTATGCAAGTTAAAACAGCTCAGTAGTTAAACACACTTCTAAATTATATTAATTCAAAATTTTAGAAAGTAATATACAAAAATAGAGCAGTGTATACCATTTTTTCATGAAAAATTAAAATGCAATAACATATAGCGCAATTTTCTTATTACAATTTTCATAGATTATTTTATTTTAACATATAGTACACCGGTAACAGGAATCACCCTTCACAATATACCACAAAGGTACATCCATCCTATTAAATTTTTTAAAACAAACCTAAGAAGATAATGATCTGTCTTCATTTCCTTTGACGTAGACAGGCAGAATGCATCAGCATAATTACCATAAGGAGGTGAACCACATCATCTAAACATGCACATGCAAAGCACAGTTAATTTTGGGCAATAATAGGCCAGATATTACATACTTTGTCAGTATTGTGTGGAGCCAACAAATAAACAACCAAATGAAGAGCATTTTTACATGGTGTGCGGGATCCTGATGCTTCTCAAGAAGACTTTTGGCTATAAATTAATTTTTTAGAAAACTAGAAACAGAGAGGTAAAAATCAACACTAATGCAAATTGGGCTAGGGAACTCACTAACAAAAGTTCAACCACCAGGGCTTTCAAAACGGATTCTTGTTCTAGAACAGTTCGTGTTCGGTTCATTAAGTAGCTCGTTTTCTATTCATTCGCTAAGCAAATAAGCTAAACACAAACAATTTTTTGCACTCTGTAAATAAACAAGCCGACATGTTCGGCTCGTTTCGCTCGAAATAATTAAATTATATATATGTATGTATGTATTATGTTTAAATAATTTAATTGATTACAAGGTTACAATGATTTATAATCAATTAAAATTATTAATTAAAAAATAGAATGAAAAATATATTAAATTCTATTTAAACATATATTTTAATATAAATAATAAGATTTAAATATTACCCCTATCCTTAAAATCCTCCAGCTGCGTGACTATGGCTGTCAAAACGGCTCGTTGTTCACGAACAGCTTGTGTTTGGCTTGTTAAGAAAACGAGTCGAACATGAACAAGTTTTTTGTGGTCAATATAAATAAACTGAACACGATTAACGGTATTTTCTAACGAGTCGAACACGAGCCGAGCCTGGGCTCATTGAAACCCGGCCCATTTACACCCCTATCCACCACAAGTTATTGCTTCTATGTATGAGAAGATCTGGTCACATGGAGAAGTAAGAAACAAGTTATTGTCTATAAAAGCAGTGTAGAATCAGATTATAGGGCACTTGCCTTAAGAATCTGTGAAGGAATCTAGATTCAAAAATTGTTGAGGGAATTGAGGTGTACCTCTAATAGGTATATATAAATATTTTATGACAGTCAAGTAGCTACTAGTATTGACAAGAACCTTGTGCATCATGACAATACCAAACATATCAAAATTGATAGATAATTTATCGCTAAAAAAGTTAATGGTGGAATTGTACAACTAAGCTACATCCAGAAACTCTAAGTTGTTAAATGTCTTCACCAATGCTCTTACATTAAGCAACTTCTTGGAGTTTAATACCATACTTGTTTCTACAACATCTACGACCTAGGTTCAAAGGGAGTGAGAAAATCTAGGAAGATCGGCTTCATTTCCATGGTGATACCAAACCAACCATCTAAGGATTGATTGATGGATTAATTGGAGACAATTTGTGAAACTCCATGTGAAGCGGTGGCTAGGCGCTAAACCAATTCAGCGACTACTTAAGGGGGCGGACCAAATCCTACTTGGTTTAGGAATGCTGCCCAAGGGAGTGATTTCTCCTTCCTAATCATCCCCTATTATAAACACATTTTTTTAAGGGTTCAGTTATGCTGATTTTTCTATCAGGACAGCCGCCAGCGTCCCCCTTTTCCCTTCTAGAATTGTATCCAACAACAACGAGAAAGTGCACCGTCTGTAAATCATCTTAAAGTGGTGTTGTATATGTCCAATTTTACCTTGTCTTCATTGCTCCGGCAGTCCTCCCGTCATCAGTTTCCACACCTACCAGCTCCCAGCCACCCGCTGCCAGCCTTTTCCTTCCTGTCGTGACCCCTCCTAGGTTTCCCATTCCCTCCCATAACCCTCCTCCTCCAGCCTTCCTGTTTAGCCAGCCTCCCTTGGATTCCAACCATTCCTTGTTCCTCTCAGCTGTAATTCCCTTCCAGCCCTCTGTCTTGTCGTCCTCTCATCCCCTCCAGTCCATCCAAGGGTGCTGCCAGCCCTCCGAACGCTCTGACAATCTCCTGCCACCTTTCCCCGACCTTCCACTCAATGCCAAAACTACCTTCCAACCAACCAGCTGCCACCACCACCTCCCACCAGCATCTCTACTCACTGGCCAGCCGCCACCCTTCCTTTTCACTGTCGCCCTAAAGTGTCATTTTATGTTTGTTATCGTGTAATTCATGTTTTAAAGAAACTTAGTTGTAACTTATTTGAATTTCAACAATAATATTTTTGTTTCTATGGTGGATTTGGGCTAACTCCGGTATCAATTGGTATCGAAGCCAGATTAACTCGTCTTATCCTAATATTGTCAAGCAGCAGCCCCCAAACCACCTCCACCAAAAATCTCCTTTCATATTCTCAAACCAGAGTCAAACTTTGACCTAACTCTAATTTACACTTGTTGATTTTTCAAAATCAGCATCCCTAAATCAATTTTTATACCCCCTTTCACCTCCAAATTATAAACCCTAACCATGCCATCAAGCAGACACATGTCCGAGTCTACCAAGGAAGCGATACAGCGAGAGATACGTCGATTTCAGCGGAGGCTTATAGACATTGAGAATGAAACCCAAGGAGGACTTACCCTCCATGGTGGCAAGAAAAATCGAAGGGGCCAAAGAGACGAGAATTTAAACCCTTTCCATCTGTAGGATTTCAGTATAAAGAAGATAGGACACGAAGATTTGGAATCTAGTATCAAAGGAGGCCGAGAGAGAATGCCGCATATGGAGGCGCTATGACTTCGGAATAAAAATGGATCTACCAAAATTTGGAGATATGGATCTTGGTGACTTTATCAAATAGCTGTAGTCAGTTGAGAGAATCTTCGAATACAAAGATGTGATGAAATGGTAAAACTATAGCCATCAAATAGAGGAAGAGCACCTCCTTGTGAAAGAAAAACTTGAAGAGGAAGAAGGCAGTGACAACATTACCAAATAGGAGAAGATGAGGAAGGCGGTGCAGAGAAAACATCTATATCCTCATTAACAACATGATATATTTCTAAGACTCCACCTACAACAAAGAGATATATAAGTTAAGAAGTTCACAACACAGTTTGACCAGTTGCAGATGACGTGTGAGTTGGTCGACTCAGAGGTACATTCCATAGCTCAACATCTGGGTGGTCTAAAGCTTGCTATTAGCAAATTCATGCAACTACAACCTTATTGGATAATGGAAGATGTCTGAACCTTAGCCCTGAAGATGGAGAGGCAACAAAAACAAAGCAGGCAACCACCACCTGTCCAGCAGTCATGTGTAGTGGGATACATCAGTAGGAAACCGACCAACTGAGTTGAGAAAAATGGTTTGGAAAAGGATAGAGCCACCCCGAGTGAGACGCCTGAAAATAGAAGCATGTCTACAATAGGCCCCGCCAGAAAATGCTTCAAATGCCATGGATTTGCACACATCTCATCCAGGTGCGAGAAGAGTCGAATTGTATCTTTCACCAAGTAGGGCGCAGTGGAGTTGGTTAACGATGAGGCGACAACTAAGGAATAGGGTGAGATGTATCATCTTCCACTGGATGAAGG